GGCAGCAGCTCTCAAACCAATTCCCCTTTCCCATGCCTTTGTTACCCATCAATAAAAACTTATCAAGAACATTTCCTTTAGGGGGACTGAAAAGCTGGTAGGTTGTGAAGGATAGCTCCCAACTTGACCAAAATATGGAATATACCGTGCATGAGATATCTGGATTTTCCACTTCTGTTTTAATTTCAATGTGGAACTAAGACTATGTTTAATGAGGAAGAAATATAAAAGCTAATAAATTTTGAAAATATTGTTCAAGAGAGAAAAAAAGATATTTTAATTGAAAGTTATTGAAAATTAGGTTTTCAACTAAACATATGTTTTAAAATTACTGCAGTATAGTATTTTATGACATGCAGCAGCAGTTCATAAAAGCAGACCCTGTATTGTAAATTCACTTGTACTAATAAAGGAGCAAAATTCTTTCATTATTTTAAAGCAAATGTATGTAAAGACATCAACTCAAAGAAGATTTAAGAAAAAATTAAGAAAAAATATTGATTTCCTTTAAATGTTTATGCTCCCCCACAAGGAAACAAAAGCATCCTATGGGTTTTGTGAGTTGGCTGGTTGATTCCTCATCCCCCACAATTCAGTTGAAATAGCACTTCAGGACACAAACCACGGCAACACCACTAAGAAACACCCCAGCTCTGTCTCTTCAGCAGCTTAAAAACCCCACAGATTTGGCAGCTAAGTTCTAGTTAAATAATACTGGTTTATGCATTATTATCCTTTCTCTTACGTATATCACCTCACCAGCAACAACTGTGCCACTTCAGGACAAACACACCAGGATGCAATTCATCCTACCACCAAACTGACATTCCACAGGGACTACACAGGGTTGAGCACCACAAATCTTTGGCACAGCCACTCCCACATATGGACCTGAGACAATGAGCAAGAGGAAGAACCACATGACCAGAAAGGAGATAGGACAGTGGAGCAGGACACAGGCTACTCTTCAAAGCACTGCCCTGACTGAGGATATTTAGCATGTCCTCTAAATCTCTTTAACATGCAAACACATTTCTTCTTCATTGATATCTTCTTGGTGGCCAATGGCAAGCCTTCAGCTACAGTGCATCATCTAGTTTCATCATGTGCCTTTTGCTGATGGCTTTGGGGCTACCAATAACAAAAGGCTAGTGGGATATTAACGGCAGAAACTCTTTACAAGCTTCACTGTCAAAATTAATTGTAGCAATTATGTCTAATCAGGTGGGAACTGCTGTTTCAGTTGTCTTGGGCTAAGAAGAGCTTAGAAGAAAGAGGAAAGTGCAGGTGTGCACAACGGGCTTCACACTAACAAAGCAGTTCATAGCAGCCACTGCTGCGCAGACTGAAATCTGAGATAACCAAAGCTATTTTTGAAAAAGCACTGATCTATTGACCAGACCCCTGAGGCATGCAAGATTTTCTTTTTATTTCTTTGGTTTAATTTATTAGATAAGGTCACTATTTAATTTATAAGACAAGGTCCAATACTTTCTCTTCATCCTACAGATAAAGAGAGGCTAAACAGCCAGGTCATGAGCATCCACTTCACTTCCTCACTTGCTGCAGGGACTTTTTGAAACAGGTTTATAACGTACCCCACTCAATTATTTTTCCAACTTTCTCCTTGACTGAAATAGCATGACCAAGTACAAGACAGTGAGAGGACAGATGGTTTCATCTTTTAATCAGTGGTCTTTTTTCAGTCTTTAAACAAAGAAATAAACAGTGATTCTATTTTCTGCAAAAAGTCCATAGAAGTCCTCTGTCAGGACCATCATGAACTCAGCTCACTCGGAAATCCGACCAGTTCTCCTCATTAAAGAGTATGCTAGTTGATTTGTAGCAGAAAAAAAAAAAAAAAAAAAAAANTGGCTGCCTGTGCTGGCTGGCTCGGGGGCACCCCTTGGCATCAGGGCCAGCCAGGCAGCAGCTCTCAAACCAATTCCCCTTTCCCATGCCTTTGTTACCCATCAATAAAAACTTATCAAGAACATTTCCTTTAGGGGGACTGAAAAGCTGGTAGGTTGTGAAGGATAGCTCCCAACTTGACCAAAATATGGAATATACCGTGCATGAGATATCTGGATTTTCCACTTCTGTTTTAATTTCAAAGTGGAATTAAGACTATGTTTAATGAAGAAATATAAAAGCTAATAAATTTTGAAAATATTGTTTCAGAGAGAAAAAAAGATATTTTAATTGAAAGTTATTGAAAATTAGGTTTTCAACTAAATATATGTTTTAAAATTACTGCAGTATAGTATTTTATGACATGCAGCAGCAGTTCATAAAAGCAAACCCTGTATTGTAAATTCACTTGTACTAATAAAGTAGCAAAATTCTTTCATTATTTTAAAGCAAATGTATGTAAAGACATCAACTCAAAGAAGATTTAAGAAAAAATGAAGAAAAAATATTGATTTCCTTTAAATGTTTATGCTCCCCCACAAGGAAACAAAAGCATCCTATGGGTTTTGTGAGTTGGCTGGTTGATTCCTCATCCCCCACAATTCAGTTGAAATAGCACTTCAGGACACAAACCATGGCAACACCACTAAGAAACACCCCAGCTCTGTCTCTTCAGCAGCTTAAAAACCCCACAGATTTGGCAGCTAAGTTCTAGTTAAATAATACTGGGTTTATGCATTATTATCCTTTCTCTTACGTATATCACCTCACCAGCAACAACTGTGCCACTTCAGGACAAACACACCACGATGCAATTCATCCT